AAGTTTGTTAACTCAACTGTCGGTAGACCTGTTTGTATCGACTGATAAGGCAGCGACTGTGAAAAAAAGGAATCTCGAGAGGTGGTTGTACGTCTTGATACTCCACAAATGATAGCATTTCTTGTTTGTCATCCACACTTGATTGAATTAAACTTGCAGCTTGAATCACACGACGCAGTCCACTCCATCTCAACTATTATCATCATAACAATATCGAGTTACCACTTGTCTGTCCTCTTGTGAGTCTTTAGTCTTCATAATATAGCTCACCAGATGTTCATTAATGTTTACTCATTCATATAACGATTGTATCTTCATTCTGACTAACTCCTAGGCTGGAGCAGTTAAGAAGAAACCATCAGTTAGCATCATCCTAATAGGCACATTTCACCAAAGACCCATCTTCATTTTATTGCTCAACCCATTTGTATATGCTCCTAGATATGTCTTTTTATCTTGATATCTGTTTTTCTATCTCCAGTAACTTTAAATTCTACGAATGCAAACAAAACTGGTGAGAAGCCTCCTGTAAAGACGGAAGTCAAGAAAAACAAGAATGTGGTGAACGTAACCCAAGGGAAGGCTGTCAAAAAGGTGGAAGAAGAGAAGACTGTCAAAAAGGTCCAATTAAAGGAGGATGAAAAGAAGGTGAAGGAAATCAAAGATGAGAAGAAGACGAAAGAAGAGAAGGACGTGAAGAAGCTGAAAGAAGAGACAGATGTCAAGAAAGTGAAAGAAGAGAAAGGCGAGAATAAGGTGAAAGAAATCAAGGATGAGAAGAAGACGAAAGAAGAAAAGGAAGTGAAGAATGTCAAAGTAGATAAACCAGTGAAGGTGGAAGAGAAGAAAGATGTGAAGAAGGCGAAAGAAGAGACTGTTGTGAAGAAGATTACAGAAGAGAAGACTATCAAGAAGGTGAATTTAGAGGAGAATGCAAAGAAGGCCGAAGAAGTAAAGGGTGTGAAGAAAACAAAAGAAGTGAAGGAGACGAAGAACGTAGAAAAAGAGGAGGATGAAAAGGATGCAGAAGAAGAGGAGAATGAGAAGGACGAAGAAGATGAGGAAGAGGAAGAGGAAGAAGAGGATGAAGATGACGATGATGATGACGAGGATGATGAAGACGAAAAGGAAGGGGACGATTAGAAGAGAAAAGCGAGTTTTATACAATTTATGCAGATTCAGTCGATCAAACGTTGGACTGCATTGTATTGGAGTGACATTTGTGATTTTATTATTATGATTTATATACGCAATTAATGGTATCCAAATAAATGCTAGTCACTATCCGTCTCGTCTTCTCTTTCAGTTTCATTCATGTGAATCTATTAGGTGGGGACTGTACGACTTAACCCTCATACACCACTGTTAACGCTTACAATTTAATGTCATATGTGTGTGCAGTGTGGTAGTCTGAGTGGTTGTACTGTGGTGAGTGCTACTTATAATCCGATATAAGTAGTATATCAGAAACGAAGTAACAATATGTTTGGCACATTGGAAAGAGCAATCAAAGAATAGAACCATGAGAAGAATGTTGCCATATGATACAGAATCCAATTAGCTATCGAACGAGGCGATATTCGACCAATTCGTCAAGGATGTGGTAAATAATGTGCAAATGGCCGGTTGAGAATATTATTATTATTGTTCCCTTGGGTTCCTATTGGAACATAGGGCTTCAACTGCACGTCTCCACTTGCTTCTGTCTTCTGCTGTTCTTTTCACTTGCGTCCATGTTATTCCATACTGTTTCATCTCCTCCTCACACGATCTCCTCCATGTCACCCTTGGACGTCCCACTCGCCGCTTCCCTTTCGGGTTACACTCGAGGGCTTGACGCGCGATGTCACTCAACGGCCTCCTCAGCGAGTGTCCAATCCATCTCCACTTCCTCCTGCATATTTGTTGGGCGATTGGTTCCTGTTTCGTTTGTTCCCATAGCTTCTTGTTTGTGATTCTTTCTGGCCATCTAATCTTCAGTATGGAGCGAAGACAGTTGTTGATAAAGGTCTGCAACCTGTTGAAAATATTCTTGGTGACCCGCCAAGTTTCTGATCCGTAAAGCAAAATTGACTTGACGTTTGTATTGAAAATCCGAATTTTGTTGTTGATACTGAGTGACGAAGATTTCCAGATTGGTTTCAGGTTGATGAATGTGTTTCTCGCCTTCCCGATTCTCGTCTCGATTTGACATCCTCGTCCGTTCCTCCTGTGGTTGAGACAATGCTCCCCAGATAAGTGAAAGAAGTAACCTCTTTCAAATCCCTCCCGTTGATGGTGATTGGCACTGGATGTTGCTGCTGTTGTTGGTTGGTTATTTTCATGACCTCCGTCTTGTCTATGTTCACCTGGAGTCCTGTCTTTGCTGCTTCTTCGACCAGTTTGTCGGTTTCCTCTTGTAGGTAAGTCTTCGATTTTGTGTGACATCAAACATAAATCATCTGCGAAATCCAGGTCTTCTAGGTTCTTCACGTCGGTCCAGGATATCCCTGTCTTCCCGTTTCCCACTGTCTGACGCATAATCCAGTCCACCACAATTAGGAATATCATTGGTGATAATAAGCACCCTTGTCTGACTCCTGTGTTTACTCCAAACGCTTCGCTGAGTTTTCCGTTGTGGATCACTTGACATGTGCCGTTGTCGTACAGTTGTTGAATAAGGTTGATGAATATTTGCGGTACGCCGTAGTAATCAAGTAGTTTCCAAATTACTTCGCGGTCAACGCTGTCGAAGGCCTTCTCAAAGTCTATGAAGTTGAGGTAGAGATTTGATTTCCATTCCATGCTTTGTTCGATGATGATGCGTAGAGTAGCAATTCGGTCAGAACATGATTTCTCTTTCCTGAATCCAGCTTGTTCTGGTCGGAGTTCTGTATCAAGTGCGTCCTTTATCCTCTCCAGGATGATGCGACTCAGGATTTTACTTGGCTTCGACAGGAGCATGATTCCTCGCCAGTTCTTGCAGAGTCCCAGGTCGCCCTTCTTTGGTAGTTTCACCAGGTAACCTTTCCTCCAGTCAGTAGGCACCTTTCCCTCTTTCCAGATCTTTTGCAATAATGGGGTCAGCATATCTGCCGTCGTTTCTGGGTCCGCTTTCAGTGCTTCCGGGGGTATTCCATCTGGTCCAGCTGCTTTTCCAGCTTTCAGAAGCTTGATTGCATTCATGACTTCAGTTTTCGTTGGAGGATTGGTGTCAACTTGCAGTTGTGTACGTGCTGTTGTTGGTATTACTGGACGGGTTGTAGGTGGTGGTCGGTTCAAGAGTCCTTTGAAGTGGTCCGCCCATTGTTTAATCTGTCTTTCTTCTTTGGTAATTGAGTTCCCTTTGTTGTCTTTTATAGGTTTCACTTGTGTTGATCTCTTCCCGGATAGAGACTTGGTTATCTGATATAATGTCCTCAGGTCCCTTTTGCCTGCTGCCTTCTCAGCTTCAGTAGCCAGGTTGTCGTAGAATTGTCTTTTGTCCTTCCTGGCACTCTTCTTCACTTCTTTGTCCAGTGCTGTGTAAGTTGAGTTCAGCGTCTCTTTCTCTTGTCCATCTTTGCATTGAATCATTTTCTCTTTCACTTTTCTCCTCTCCTCTATTAGTTTCCAAGTGTCTGTTGAGAGCCATTCCTTGTCTTGTTTCTTCTTTCTTCCTAAAACCGTTGAGCACGTTTCGTTGAAAATTAGCTTCAGAGAGTTCCAATGGTCTTCCACGGATGATTCCTCAGTGGTGCCACGTAGTGTTTCCTGCTTTGCTCTGACAGTTGCAGTGAAAATGTCCTGTGTGATTGTGTCCTTCAGTTTGTGAGTGTTGAACTTGCATTGTGGCCTATCCCCAGGTATCCTCGAGGCTTTCAGCTTCACCTTGAAAGTCCCTTGTACTAGATAGTGGTCTGAACCCACATCTGCTCCTCTCCTCGATTTGGTGTCCAGTAGGTTCCGTCTCCACTTCCTTGAGATTGAAATGAAGTCTATCTGGTATTTGGTGTGTCCATCTGGTGAAATCCATGTTGCCTTGTGTATATCCCTGTGTTTGAACACACTGCCACCAATCACCAAATCATTGAAGGCGCAGAAGTCTGAGAAGAGTTCACCATTTTCGTTCATTTTACCGAGGGCCTCACGACCCATCGTGAGTTCTCTTCCTGTATTGTCTCCTCCCAGTTTCGCATTCATGTCGCCCATCAGGATTTTGATATCGCTCTTTGGGACGTTGTCCATTACTGTTTGTAGTTGACTGAAAAATCCTCCTTCTTCTCATGTTCTGAGGCGTTTGTAGGCGCGTGGCACTGAATGATTGTAACCTTTTTTCCTTTTGAGTTGAACCTGGCTGTCATTATCCTGGAGGAGATTGGTTCCCACTGCATGAGAGCTTTAGCTGCTGTTGGTGACATCATGATGGCTACTCCCTCGGTGTGCTCGTGATTGTCCTCTGGGTGACCGGAGTAGATTATTGTCTCTCCAGTTGATAGTTGGCTCCTTCCACATCCGTTCCATCTGCTCTCGCAGATTCCCAACACTTCTATTCTATATCTCCTCATTTCTGCGGCTACCTGAGCAGCCTTCCCAGCTTCGTACATTGTACGAACATTCCACGTCCCCATCCTTATTTTCGCTTTCATCGAAAGAAGGCACATCGGCTGACTGGCTTCCCGAAGGCTTTCACCAGCCCGCGTCATTTCACTTCCCCGATTCCAGCGAAAAATAAGGTCACTATTTGTAATTTTAGAATTTTGAATATATTTGTGCGTTGAAGTTTTAGTAGCAATTTGATTAAGTTTTGGGGGTGGAGTTGCTAGCACCACGCCCCAACCCTCCCTCTTTATCCGGGCTTGGGACCGGCTAGAATACTAGTGACCTAGTAATCTAGGCGAGGTTGGCCGGTTGAGAATATGGTATACCAAATTTAGCTATGTACCATACGTTTCACCGAATACATGCTCCTTTCAGCCTCCTCAGTCTTGTCTTCTTTACAGTACTTCTACGAGCATAATTCATAGGCTGACTTGCTTATCTTCTCTTTGATTGTAAAATTTAAGTCGTGTTAACTTATTCTGCAAGTATACCTACTATTTGGTCTTACATAGTTCTCAATACCAGTGAATAATGGAAGTCAAATTTATACACTCAGTAAGAACACTCAATAATGCACTAGATCGGAGTAATGAGACTCACAGAATTAGTACACTGTAGTCACTGTAAATAATAAAACAGCACACCACACTATTTCTTAAGTGTAAAGATCTGTTCATTGGCTACAAATTTATAAAACAACATCTTGATTTTTATGCGTGGTACACTCCAGTGAATATTCTCCACTGGAAGTTCTTCAATCTGTGGTTGTTGGTTATCATTTGAAACGAAGATATCAGTTTAGTGTATATGTTGAGGGAGCACATTAGCATTTTCTGTTTCCCGCGTAAAAAACTGTAGGGCAAGTAAGCAATGGTTTTTTCATGAGATAACAGATAACCATAATTTTCCTACAGAAAAGGGTACCATTTCGACTGTCAACAACAGACTATACAAAATCACCTTTGCATTGTCTATCGACTACGAGTCTGGAGTGACTTTCTTGAATGATTACCATTATGGTATGTGGTCGATACCAAGTTCACACTAAACGTTCGACTGTTATTTTAAGTTGTATGTCGTAATTCAGGAACACAAATTTTTAATAAGCATATTGAATTAGGTAGCAAAATTGACAGCAATGAGTAGAGTTTAACTGAAATTGAAAGAAGGTTATGTTGAAACCGCCATCTTAATCAGTTTCATCAGCTTCGGTTAAATCGCTATTGCATGCATTTGATTTCTCTGTATAAGTTTTTCGCGTGAATTTATCACTACAATGTCGTAAACAAAATACAGTTGCTTCTGTAACTTCAAAGTTCTAGCAGGAAGCGGTATATTGAACTTAATATGCAAAGGTAGGAAAACAAATTTCACAAATGATCGTCATTTCTCTATTTTCTAGGGCAAATTTGTGACAATATGTTTGTAACGACAGAAGACAAGGGTCAGTCAACAGAGAGCTTATTGAGAAAATGAACTGATTTTTAAGGATTTTTATGCATATTATTATCAGCGGATTGGTTGTTTTCTTTCTGAATGTGACTTTGTACTGCTTTTGACCGTTTCTCAGAACATTAGGCCAT